CAGCTGATACCATGGCTAGCCATCCGTGGCCTGATGTTTAACGTCGGAATGCGCAAAGGTCCCCTACTTGGCGCACCAACTGTCGGTATTTCGAGTAAACACCAACTAGTAAATTTATATTTGTTGCGCGTTGGGCCCGGATGCTGTGCTAAAAGACACAAGGTTTATACTGGTTCGGACAGAATGTCCCTACGTCCAGTTTGCTGCTGCTCGTGTTATTAGCACTGAAAAAGATTCGTAGTAGGAGGTACAAACGGTCGAGAGAGGGACATGTCCCAAGTCTCTGATGGAAAGGTTAAAAGGATGCCAAGAGCTCGGTTGCTGCTCAGCTGTGTGTTATGTGATGCATTGTGTGTTGAATTGATCCGTCCCCTTAGTGGGGGTGCCCTGCCCTCCCTTTTATAGACCATGGGGGAGCAAGGATTACAAATGGGAGAAAGAGAAAAACCAGAGGTAGAGAAGGTCCTTCGAAGGTGCTGGGTCTTCCTTTTCCCTTGAGCCTGCCTTGCTGACATGGTAGACGGTGCCAGGGATAGCACGTTCACTGATCCTGATAGGGCCGTGCTCTAGCTTCGTTCAGCAAGTGGTCACATCCCAACCTATTTCGGTGGACGGTGCAGCATGCCAGGGTGCCGAGCCGTGACCCTTTGGGGAGCAGACGGGGTAGTGACCATACGTCCGTTACTATAGGTGATGTGAGTTCCCTTCTGGATCGTAGTGGTTGTCGTATGCTTATGCCAGGATCCGCGTCCAAGGGCCGATGGCGGCACCCACAACACTATAAGACAAAGTCAGCGCCTACAACATTGTTCAGGCTCTGTCATGCCTGGAAGGGCTTAAAGCGCCCGTCCTGTCATATCCTGACGGTACTTGCCCGCAGGCGTGCAGGATATGGTTTTTGGTACTGCGATTGACTTGAGTGTCCTGTCGTACCCTGTGCTCGTCATTATGAAGGAGCAGGGTGTAGACGTTGGGCGAGGAGGAGCTAGCCCCAGGACGTCGGGCGAGGTGGAGCCTATCCCAGGACGTCGGGGGAGGCGGAGCCAGCCCTCAGACATCGAGCGAGGCGGAGCCAGCCCTCGGACGTCGGGCGAGGCGGAGCCTGCCCTCAGATGTCGGGCGAGGCGGAGCCAGCCCTCGGATGTCGGGCGAGGCGGAGCCTGCCCCCGATCGTCGGGCGATGTGGAGTCCAACCGTCTAGGGTCGGGCGAGGCGGAGCCAGTCCCCCGGTCGTCGGGCAGAGCCAGCCAGCCCTCAGCCGTCGAGCGAGGCGAAGTCTGCCCCCAGACGTCGGGCGAGGCGGAGTCCAGCCCTCGGGGGTCGGGCGAGGCGAAGCCAACCCTCAGGGGCCAGGCGAGGCGCAGCCAACCTTCGGTCGTATGAGCAAGAAGTGTAGTTACGTTCTTGTCTGTTAGGAAGCATCAACGTTGATGGTTATTAGCTCCACCTCTTTGGGTACCCTAGTATTTGGTCCCCGACAGGATGAATGCGGGCGGGGCTCATTTATTTCCTTATTTTCGGGCGGGGGCGCGGAAGGTGCGTCCGAACGCGCCATCCCTCCAGACGTCCGGGCGCTAGCCCATGTGCAAAAATATTCATGGGTCAACCTGTGTCGTACAATTATCAATTAAATTTGTGCTAGGAATGGGCTACTATTTTGCCACTTTCAGTCTAGAAAGAGTATCTAATAACAAAAGTTAGGTACCATAATATAGAGCATGATTTTAGAAAAAGTATGAAATTAGTTTCTTAATTTTTGAGCTATAACAATTTTTAAAGATTAAATCAGATTTTAGTATTTTAATCATGATTTCTTTTGAAATATTATTTCTATGTTTTTTTATAGTCTTATTATTTCTGAACTATTAATGTAGTGTGATTTACCTCTCTCGTTGCTGATGTGGTACCATGTAGGATGACTAATGTGAATTTGTGATGCCATGTATGCCAAAACCAAACCACTCTTCTTATTTTAGAGGCGGCCACAAGTATAACTGCCTCCGTAAATGCCTCCAGCATGTCAAAACGGGAGCCTAGTCCATTGTAAACCCTCCCCACACCATGCACGGAGCCGTCCCAAACTTCTCTCTCAGCCACGGAAGCCTTCTCTCTCTTGTTCGCCCTAGATATTTGAGCCAATTCCCTGTGAGCCATTATAAAAGATGCAACTAAAATTCATCTTCCCTCTCAACCATCACTTGGATTTCTTCGACCCCTATATGTCGCTGCCGTCAAAACGGTAGCTAATAGAAGGTTGAAATGCTCTCTTTTGCCCCTTACAGGTGGCCCCCATGCGTCAGCCTCCTCCTTCCTCCATGGCCATGGTAGCCAGCTGCACTGTTGCGCACACGCGCGGAGGGAAAGAGAGCTCAGCCAAGCTGTAGAGCTAACAAAAGTTGTAGAGCTCGAGAAGATATAAAACTTTATCATTGATGTTATGTTTATCTAAGGTCATTTAGAGCCCCAAAAATATGTTTTATGTTCTCATATTTTTTATTTTTCAAATGGAGGCATGTCCCATACCAAAGCACCAAAGCTATAGTGATCGACCACGTAAACTTGTAGTTGAAAGTTTTTTCATTTTAGATCATTTAGGGCCAAAATATTAAGTATAAAATTCTAGAATAAGACAATGATAGCATGCATGTTATACCACGCGCGAGGGCGCAAGTCATGGGTTTGAATCGTCTTAAGAAATAATGCATGTGCGTATTTTACACAAAAAATCGTGCGACTAGTGAGTTAGTAGTGACTTGCGATCATGATACTTAGCTAGTGGGTTGTTTTTTAGATTAAATCTTTTTACTATTTTTATGTCTTGTTAAATTTAAAATTTCTAGGAAATGATTTCCAAGGCAGTTGGTATTTCCAAGGTCATCAGAAAACCAACCGCCCCTGTAAATTGATTGGAGCGGTTGAACACCTTCTCCTGATAAAAATCATCGCTCGAGTAGTGGTGAACCGCCTCTAAAAACCATTTTCACCCTCTCTACAAATGTTCTGCATAGTAGCGTAAAGTTCGAGCATTTATCTAATAAAAGTTTAGAAAAATTTGTGGATTTGAGGACCGTAGCAAAATTCACATGGCCCCATAATATAAAACAAGATGTCCATATCATCAATACAAGGGGTAACGACGCTACATAGATGCCGAACATATAGATGTCACTGATGACATAACATGAACTACCCACGTCCATTTCACATAATATCTACAGTGCCCTGATGCTTAAGGCAATGGGGAAAAAATCCATGACTACCGTGACGCGATGTTGATCAGTAGTTTCAATTGCGCGTAGACCTAATCAGTTTTGCATGTGACTTGCAAACTTTATGCACTTACTGCTCTCGGACAAGTTGATAAGCTATAGGCTATAGCCCTGCTTTTCTGATAGCGATAAATTAAATGATGACTAGGAGTATATATAGCCCAGCTCTAGAGAAAAAGGCTGATAAGTCATGCGTGTATATGGTATGATAAGCTGATAGCTTTTGTGAAAAGGAGGTATGCTTAGAGCTGATCACGTACTTATCGCTCGATCCCATTTCTCCTTTTCATTTTTCTCTCGAAGCTTCTGATGAGAAATTAATTGTTGCTACTTACTAAGGAGAGTTCTAGCTAGATAGCAAATTTTGGAGTCCTGGATACATGCATGCCTCAATAGACAATTACTGGCCAGTGATTCATGCATGCATGAAGCGGCTGTGAGCTCACATTGCAAATCAATATTTAGAGTGTTCTTGAATTTTTTCTCAAATTGCAAACTGACATAAGATTTCTTGATGAACACTAAAATTATAGGCAAAGACCAATGAATTAAGGGACTACCAAAGACAAAGAACCATATAATTAACTATATATTATTTGCGGATGCAAAACGCCGGAACTATATATTCCTTTATTATCTGTATATATATCTTGTCGGACAGACAATATCTGGCAGGAGCCGGACATTGATTCTCAAATCTCTACTCACTTACCTTATAATCCGGCTTATTCGGCTTCTTTTTTTAGCCGGAACAGTGTTTTTCTCTCACAACAATTCAACCGGAACAGTATTTTTTAGCCAATTTCAGCCAAACGAACAGAGCCTAAGAACTGCGACGTCCTGATATAAGTCTAGAAAGCCCACTTCGAGACGTCTCTCAGGCGGCCATGGCGAGCTGCTCGTGAACCACTATGCTTTCCAGCCTGTCGTCCATGCTGGGGACGGAACATGGTCATGGACGCATGCCAACCTCAGTGATGTTGATTATCTGAAAAATTAATTATACAACATGTGATAGATGTAATAAATACATTAATTTGTGTTGTGTGTGTAGCTCCAAGACGAGACATGCATGTACTAAATCGCAGCTGACTAGGCCTTAAATAATTAACTTGTTTTTTATCATTAACTTGTTAATCACATGGGAAACAAACCGTGAACAAAATCATATGATCACGCCCTCAATAGTAGTACTGTTGGAAAGACCAAAACTTAACCGCGACCGCAATGCAACTGGCTGGATTTCACGATCACAATTTGCATATTTATATATATACAAAATATACGCCGGCCATTTTCAACCCTACTTAGATGCTGATGATGCCCCTGTGCTGTTGGACATCATATCACGTGCATAGGATCAGAATCGCGCGCGTCCCCTCAACTTGGCGAAAAGGTTCTCTCAGCCGCTAGCTAGCACTTTCTACCAAATCTCGAGGTCAAGATTTGTGCAGTGGTGCGCCGCATTATCCACCACTAATACACACATCAAGTTGCACGCCACCTTTTTGACACATCGAGTGGCTATTGCCACGCATGCCCTACCTCTCAAACCTCTATAAATAGCTCCCATGCATGGCTGCTCTCACACATACATACATAGCATAAGTGTCAGCAATCTTCACTTTGAACTGATTGGAGCTTACAACACGTTAAGTTGTGCCAAGACTCACAAAGAGATTTGATCCGTATATATGGCTCCCAGCAGAGAGGCGCGCGTGTGCGGTCGCCATGGCCATGGCGGCGCCGTTTCTTGCGATGGCGAACAACATCGGCAGCGCCAGCGTCAACGCCACAGGTGGCGACGGCAACGGTGAGGTCAAGCGGCGCCGAACCTCGTCCGATGCCCTCCAGCGCACCGTGTCCCACGTCTCCTACGAACTCCACCACCACCACCACCAGCACGGCGGCGTCAACAAGCAGGAGAAGAAGGCGGCGGAACAGCAGCAGCATCCGCCGCCGCTGCACCCCGTGCCTGAGGTGCAGGACGCCAAGTGCGAGTGCTGCGGCATGTCGGAGGAGTGCACGCCCGAGTACATCCGCGGCGTGCGCGGCAGGTTCGCGGGGCGCTGGGTCTGCGGCCTGTGCGCGGAGGCCGTGACGGAGGAGGCCGAGAAGAAGAAGGGCAGCGGGACGACGCTGACGCTGGAGGAGGCGCTCAAGGCGCACATGGGCGTGTGCAAGCGCTTCAACGGCTTCGGGCGGACGCACCCGGTGCTGTTCCAGGCCGAGGCCATGCGGGAGATCCTCAGGCGCCGTGCCAAGCTCGGCCCCAGGTCCAGGTCCAGCATCAACCCCAGGGAGGTCAGGGAAGTCGCCACCAAGGCCGGCAGCGGCGGCGGCACTGGGATTGCGCGCAGCTCCAGCTGCACGCCCTTCATCACCGACGACTTCGACGACGACCGGGCGCCGTCGTCGAGCAACAAAAACTGATTCGATCGGTTGCATTGGTTGGGTCGACGATGAGTTTTTAGCATGATGGCAAGCAGCTTGCACTTCTTTGACCTTCAATTCTTTGTAGGCTATAGAGGGTGCGTTAGTTTGCTTGGTGCTTCGTTATTAGCTTTCCTTTTAGGCTACAGAGTGCATGCTTTTGTTTACATGCCATCGTGGCTGTTTTTTGCTGCACATCTAGCTTTGAGCTAGCTAAAACCTTGGGCAGCGTTAGTAGTCTAGCCATGAAAATTAGTCTGGTTTGTTCATGCAACCTCTGTTGCATGGAGACGACGATCAAATTGAAGTTGTTTCAGGGTGCAGGTTTTTCCATCTGATAGATCATCAGTGGAATGCATATGGTCACCCTTTGGTTGCGTTGAGGTCGTGGCTGATGGGTTATCAGTTGTTTTTTATGGGGCGTTGCTTGGCACTCTTGTGGCGTTTTGCCTCACAAGCGGCGCTGACATCAGCTCTGTCTATTTGCTTAAAATTGTAATTCTATGCCTACCCCAATTTTACTGGGCATGTAGTATGTAATCTTTACATATGAATCCTGCGTCCAAACTGTGGCCAGCCAGCGTGCCACGTCACGTGCCTTTCGCGACCGTTTGATCGGGCGCGCGGACGGCCCAGATCGGGCGAGCCGCGGTAGTTTACGAAAACCCTCTTATATTTTTCGGAAATCAACCCGCGCTCCAGACGTCCTCTCAGTATATTTTTCAAAAAACACCTCAGATTATTTCGAAATCAACCCGCAGTCCAGATCGGATGGGCTCCGGGTTTTTTTTCAAATAAGACCTTCTCTTTATCGAAAATCAACCCGCGCTCCAGAGACTCTCTCGACAATTTTTGCAAAAACCTCCTCAGATTTTTCTCAAATCAACATACAGGCCACCTCTGATTTTTCAAAAAAAAATAGCTGAAACTTTAAAATTGCATCTACGGTGCAGCAGCTAGAGATTCCAGAGCTTTCGTCTCCGGCGTGAGACAAAGCCGTCACCGCCATCCCCTCCTCACGCCGCTCCACCGCCGCTTCCACCTGCTACGGGTAGCAGCAGTGAAGGTTGAGGAAGGATAGTGCTAGCTACTCCTACCCCGCCGCCCTCACAGGCATGTGCGACGCTGGAAGCGAGTGCGCAACCCATCCCTTCTTCCTCGCCCTTTGGCCGCGTCGAACATGCATGCCCCGCCTCCCTCACAGGCATGGGCGCCGCCACTTCCCTCTTTGCAGGATCAGCCACATGCTCACGTGACGGGCGTGGGCTATACAGTGGAAGCGGAGGCAACTGGCGGCGACTGCAAAGGACCGAAGCCCGTAGCACACCGCAAGGCTGATTCCAGCCAGGCGCCATTGGCCGCGCCACCAAGGTGATGGGAGACCAGCGCGACTTGGGACAACGACGGTGGAGGTGGGGCATGGGGCGATGCCTAGCCTGGATCAATGACACGCTCTATGGTGCCGACTCCATGCTTGCCTCACCTGCTTATGAGGAACGCCCCTAGGCTGTTTGATGAAATGCCTGTTCAGAATGCCATGACTTGGAACACTCGGATTCATCTGCCTCTATGTTGGTAAGTACAAAAGATGTTACTTATTTCCTACCTTCTTTTTTATCTGACTATAGGTATTAGAATACTGAATATGGATATAACTATGTTCTGTATTATAAGCTCCACAGATTCAAATATGAGTACTAACTGAAAACTAATAGAAATTGTTCACCAAGATGAAATTAAATTTCAATATAAAGAGACTGATCATATTGTTTGATATGCCACCATATATCTAAGATTAGATGTAGCATAAGCCTAACAGCTATTATACCCCGTGTAGAAATAAAACGATTTTGGTGAATGCGAATCAACCTAAAAATGAGAGTCCAATTTTAACAATCTCGCCATTTTATTCGGTGTCATCTGCTTGTGTGGATATCTAATTGTAAGTACTTTGAGCATTACTGTACAAATACAGAGCCATATTGAACACCTTCATGAAGACTTAGGCCAGTTTACTGAAGATTTTAATCATGGTATTAGCAATCAAAATAGATTACATAATTGTCGCGTGTAACTATGCAACTCACCATGCACAGTACATGAATGCAAAGTAGCTTGGTTCTGACATCTTGCATTTATGAGAGGATAGCTATCTCATGAAATGTTTCAGTTTCCTTTTTACAAATTCTAGAATAGTTCCCCAATTTTTGAGTAGGATTCATGGTCCTCCTGTCCATTATGTTATTCAGATAACACAGTCTCGGCAGAACAGGCAGTTAGCAAACTAGATTCTACAGATAAAACAGTTGGACACTTGGACTTGCAGTTGCTTGGATTGATTCTAATTTTTAGAATATATATATAGGTGAATGCATAGACTATTGGCCAACGAAATAAAGACAATAGCTAATATGAAGAAATAAAGGACCTTCTCCCTCAGCGATAGAAGCAACAAGCTGAAAGAACTCAAGTCCTTTAACAAAGTTGTTCACCTTCCATGAACACTACATGTGATTATGCATGTAACTTTAGAGTTAAATAGCCCAACCGTACCAATACAAGTAAATTATTATTGATACCTCTGTGTTTCATCAGCTCTGCTACATTTATTCTTAAGGCTGATGCTGAGAGGAGTGAGGTTTATGCACATATGACACTGCAGCCACTAAACCTGGTAACAAACTTTGTTTTATTTTCCCATCTGTTTCTATATTTCTGTTTTCTTTAATCAAAGACACTTTTGTTTGGTTTACTATGCAATACGAGCTCAAATAAACCAAACCATTAGTGCTTCTAAATATTCCACTATTAACCCTGTCAGATTTCAACCAGCAGCCCCACCACACGAGTTGATTGCAAAAAAACCAGGGCAATGGGTGGAAATTTCATCATATCATTTCAAGTAACTATTTTCCAGTCACTTTTGTTGGTTTGCAATATTACGATTTTTTCTCTACCTCCATAGCCTGTATCACACTATTCATGAAAGAGTCTCACATCAGTGTGACACTAACTTAAAATTAAGTTATTCTGTACGTCAACCAAAAGTTGCATATTTGCTAGAGTCCTTGTACTTTATATCTGGTAGGGTATTATTTAAAAATTTCAAAATGAGGACTCATTTTTCACTTTCTCTTTTAAAAACCTAGCATCCCGCAGAGAGTTTTCTGTATATGTCTAAAGAAGGGCATGTTCAAGATACCTTTTACTCGTTATTCCAGTGGTCTACTGATCAAACTGATTACTATCTTTGATTGCAGGCTGTTACCATGAAGCACCAGGAGTTTTTAAGCCTTATCCACAAATAGGCCAGCTTTGAAGTCATTAGAATCATTTCTGAAGGTGCCTAAACATCAACAGCACATTAAACGACTTAAATTCATGGCCTTGTTCCCTCCAGTGAGAGCGCGATAACTACATAAAGTTTCAAACGTAACTATGCAAAATAAATTGAGATGGACTCAAATAGTAGGCATACAGTGTTGTACTTAAAACTTTGTACATGAATTATCTTATATATATATTGTACTACATCTATGGCTGTTACTTATACGGGCTCGATCGAGGAAGGGCGCGGCAAAGCCGCGCCTGGTTTTCTAGTATGAAGGATTTGTACTCCAGACCTTTTTAATGAATAAATAAATGTAATGATATGTGGATGTTTGTGCTTGATTCTTGTGTGTAAGTTGACTATTTTATTCTACATGTTTTACTACAAGACTATATGATTTGTAACTCACTTACAAATTTTTATCTTATTTTTCTTAATATAACAAAAAAAAACACCACTACCGGAAATAGTCGCTTTGCCGAGTGCCCCAAAAAACACTCGGCAAAGGATTTGCCGAGTGTAACACTCGGCAAAGAGCACATGGCATCTACAGTGACGGCAAACGAATCTTTGCCGAGTGTTTTCTATCGGGCGCTCGGCAAAGACTTTGCCGAGAGCTGAAACCGACGCTCGGCGAAAAAAAGTAACGTGACAGAGTGGAGACGGTCCTGGCGCGTTTGCCGAGTGTCAAATATCAGACACTCGGCAAACCTTCCTTCTTTGCCGAGTGTCAAATTCTAGGCACTCGGCAAAGATTCTTCATTTGCCGTGTGTCAAAGTTCAGGCACTCGACAAAGCTTCTTCCTTTGCCGTGTGTCAAATTTCAGGCACTCGGCAAACCTTCGTCCTTTGCCGAGTGTCGAATACCAGGCACTCAACAAACACGTCCCAGAATGCACAAAATTTTGGCTTCTTTGCCGAGTGTCATAGCGCAAACACTCGACAAAGAAGCTATTTTAGTCCCAGAATGCACAGAATTTTGCCACGGGTTCACTTTGCCGAGTGTTTTAACCCTGACACTCGGCAAAAGGCCTCTTTGCTGAGTGTAACACTCGGCAAAGTGACCATATATTTCCTGTTTTTATGGTTCGGTCACGTATAACATACGCCACTCAAATAAACATTACATGCATCACACATAGTTCACAATAAGCATCACAAGCAGTTCATATAGATATAATGACAGCAAATAAACTTCAGAATCACAAGTAGGTTCATTCACAACCATAAAGTCACAAGTACTCACGGGTTCTTAGGAAATACAAATGCAAATAAAATCACTTAGGCCATGAGTTCCACTGCGACCACGCTGGATCATGAGGCTCATTCGATGCCACCGATTGATGCTGTACAAAGGAGAAGAGATTGCCTATGTGAGTCAAGATTGAACAACACGTATGGTCTCCCTGCTGCCTAACTAGTATAACCCTTTAACTATCAGGAATATCCTCTCAATTGCATTGTGCTCTTGTATGATTGCTTAAGTACTAGTTGGTAACAAACATATAGCATTAGTCACTAAGTTTCTAGTGTCTGGGCATCTTTATAAGATTGATTCTGCATAAACTAGAAACGGTGATTATAAGGTTGTAAAACGACTCACAGTGCCTGAAACAGTGTTTGGAGCAGGTTGAGGAGGAGGGGCTGGCATCGGTGGCGGAGGTTGACC